CTGCAATTATTCTTGTCTCATTGGACTAAAATCAAGCTGAAGTACTCTGTTTGACCATCAACATTAAAGGCCTTTTTTTACTGCTGCTTACACACACCTACTTCTAACAGGTGAGATCTGTTAGACACCACAAGTGCAGCTGCTTTTAAATTATCTCCTATTTTAGCAGGAAGAAAGGCCTGGCCTGAGAGAGTGACATATTGGGTCAGATAGAGACTCACGGTACTAGCAGTCAAGAACATGAGGAAAAGTCTGAGGGCTACAAAGAGGTTCCATGTAAGTCAAGAATATCTTAGTGTTTCACAGCACTTCTCTTATCTACATGGGTAAAACCTTCTACTCCAGAAGCTACTGCACAAGGGAGAAGCTAGCCAGAAGCTCTGCCCTGTTTGGGGGCATATTTAGTCTCTTGTTTTCCTCTCAAGTCTCAACTAGCAAGACATACACCCACATGCTTCCCTTCATGTTGTTCCAGATCAGTGGCATGGTCAAGCTGACCAAGATCTGCCTGCCCTTCCCTCCATTGCATCTCTTGATGCCCAGGGCAACAAGAACCAGTCTGCTAGTGCAGAAGACCATCTACAAGGCTGTTACCATTTTACGAGCCCTGTCAACAACCGAGTCAATGATCTCCTTCCCAATGGTGTAGTGGCCCCGAGCATAGTTGTTGGCAGCATCTTCTTTGCCACTAATGAGCTGCTCCGGGTGGAAAAGTGTACGGTAGGTCCCGGTCCTGATCTCATCTGGAAGAATTTGAGATCTCATGAGCATCACTGGCACGAGATCCACTGTCTACCAAGTTACTTGCACCAATTTAGATGCAGTTTCACATGGAAGCTGGCAGCCTCACTAGGAGTTTAGGTGGCCAACATTACACTTCAGATCAGAGAAGGTACTCTTCCCCCCCTGCCCCCTCAGGTTTGGGGACATTCCATGACTTACCAATGACAGTGGGCTCCAGGTCAACAAATATTGCTCTGGGCACATACTTCCCTGATCCTGTCTCACTGAAGAAGGTCCCAAAGGAAGAGTCTACTTGCCCTAAGGATGCATCAGGGGAGATGATGCCATCTGGCTTGATCCCATGCTCCAGGCAATACAGTTCCCAACAGGAATTGCCCATCTGGACACCAGCCTGGCCAATGTGGACAGAGATACACTCCCTCTGTATGGAGATGGGAAGGAAGAGGAGGTTATCAATGTGCACTGAAGAATTAGACTAAAGCTGGCACTCCTGGGTGTTTTTATAGAGCATATGGCCAACAGCCTACAGACAGGAGGAGCTTTAACCTAGCTTGGTGGCAGCCAGGGCACTTTGTCCCTAGCAGGCACCCAAGAGCTGCTGAACAAGCAACAACTAAGCATTAGCCCTTCAGAGAGATGTTGCAATGCCTCAACTTCTTCATCCGCCTTGGTGGGATATTGCACTAGGTCCCTCTGCATCCCAGCACTCTCATTACATTGCTCAACAGCCCTGTTCCCAGGAGCAGGCAACCAAGCCCAGCTGCTGAAACTACAGC